TACGGCGTTAAATGACAGCGTCCGGACCCCGGACGACACGCTCGCTCCCTACGGGAAGGAATGGGGAGCTGTCCACCTGTGTGTGGAGCCCCCTGCGGGTTCGAGTCCCACGCGAGCGTTTCACACTGGCTGACAGGCTAAAGTTGCGTGCTACCCTCTGCAACCTCAGTTTCCTTCCGCCTTCATATTGTGTGTGTGTGTGGCCCTTAAGCGCCATATGTGCTTCTGAGGGCCGCTTGCTATACTTGCTGCGGAATGTCTGATTTGCATATACCAAGCAGCCCTCCCGAGCATGGCGCATATTGATTCCGCGCAATGCAGGAAACAGCCATCAGCCAGCACAGGAGCTACGGCCCACTCGCGCGAACAGCGCGCTCTAGTCCGTCCGTCCGTCCGTCTGTCGGTCCACCACGTCGCCGGTTCAATCCCCAGCGCGCGTGCGTCTTTTTATTCGCGCTTTTTTTTCTTTTTTCTTCGTATGCTTCATATGGACATATGCACATATGCACATATGCACATATGCACGTATGCTTCATGTGCACATGTGCACATATGCTTCATATGCACAGAAGCACATATGCACATATGCACATATGCACATGTGTTTCATATGCGCAAATGCTTCATATGCAAGCATATGCCACATGCGATGTGCAATCATATGTGATCTGCAAGCATATACGATCTGCAAGCATATGCGATCTGCAAGCATATGGGATCTGCAAGCACATGCCAGATGCGATCTGCAAGCATATGCCGTAGCATAGCATAGCGCGTACGGCATAGCATAGCGCGTACGGCATAGCGTAGCATAGCATAGCGCGTACGGCATAGCGTAGCATATCATAGCGCGTACGGCATAGCATAGTGCGTACGGCATAGCGTAGCATAGCATAGCGCGTACGGCATAGCGTAGCATAGCATAGCGCGTACGGCATAGCATAGCGCGTACGGCATAGCGTAGCATAGCATAGTGCGTACGGCATAGCATGGCGCGTACGGCATAGCGTAGCATAGCATAGCGCGTACGGCATAGCATAGCGCGTACGGCATAGCGTAGCATAGCATAGCGCGTACGGCATAGCGTAGCATAGCATAGCGCGTACGGCATAGCGTAGCATAGCATAGCGCGTACGGCATAGCATAGCGCGTACGGCATAGCGTAGCATAGCATAGCGCGTACGGCATAGCATAGCGCGTACGGCATAGCGTAGCATAGCATAGCGCGTACGGCATAGCATAGCGCGTACGGCATAGCGTAGCATAGCAGAGCGCGTACGGCTAAATTTGCGTGCTAGGCTCCGCAAGCTTAATTTTCTTCCGCCGGTGCGTAACACTGCACAGCACGCAGCTGCACGTGCCGACCCGCAGGTGACGGCACA